AGCACTAGTGATGCCGTGGTTAAAGCACTTGGCTGCTGACCAAAAGGGTGGTGGTTTGGATTCATGAGCCACCCCAAGATTTACAACCTTGGGAACCCTATGGGGGAAGTTGGATAGGACTTAACGGCAGTGCGTGTGAACTTGCGACATTTCAAACAACAACTAAGCCATTTGAAAATAAGCCGTCACATCATTAGTAATTATTCTGGAATTTAAGGTTTTCTATCTTAAATTCAAAAGTATAAATTCATTAGGAATGATCAAACATTTTAAACCCTGTTTTGACCACGTCATTTCCTAATCCTTAGTCAATACTTTCCCATGATAACTCTATACCTCCATCCCTTCTTACTCCATCCTTCTAGCGTCACAGTTCTTAATAATCTTCTTTAGCCTTTCTCTTCACATTCTCTTCACAAATCTCTACCCTCAGAGTTTATAATCTAGTGTTATTTGTATCTTTCTTCAAAGTGACAGTTGATTCAGGCACCTGATGAAGCAGAGAGATGAGTTGATGGACAAAGTCTTTTGATGAGGTGAGGAAAGAGTCATCATTTGAGGGTAAGAACACCTTCAGGGAACCAAATCGATGCTACAGAAAAGCATCTCTTGGAACATGTTCCAAGTAGTGATGGAGGGTGATTTCAAGCAATAAGGTATGGCTAGTACAATGTTGGGGCAACATCTGGCGCAAACGTAGCAATGATTGTGAGGATAGCATTAATTTGTTCTGTGACACCTACGAACACTAGGATTGGAAACCTACCTAACGGCACCTGATAACAAAGGAGGAGTGTTGGCTTCTGGGACAGTGTTTAGAGACGTTTCCCCTAGCAGAACCACATAAGTGGTTAAATGAAAAGCAGATAGAACAGGAGAGGAGGGGAAAACTCCCAGGACTGTTAACTCTTTGTGACTCAAAATGTGATCCCAGGGAATGTCAGTGTGGGGGAGGGGGTGGAAGCAGCAGCCGTTGGGAGCTTCAGAAAAACAGCATGGTGCTGCATAGGATGCACAGAGCCACAAGGTCAGTTTGAACCACAAAATCGGCAGTTCAAACTCAGCAGCCACTTCTCAGAAACTCTATATAGGGTCGCTTTGAGTCTGACCTGACTCGATGGCACTTAACAACAACAGTAACAGTTTTGTTCTAAAAGACCTCCTAACCAGGGCATCTTTTAAAAATTCTTCATAGAAGACCATTTGCTTTATTTAGAGCTACTTTGATCCAAGGAGCCCTAGTGGTGTGGTGGGTAACATGTTGGACTGTTAACTACAGGGTCAAAGGTTGGAATCCACCAGTCACTCCATGAGAGAAAGGTGATGAACCTTTCTACACCTGTAAAGATTTACAGCCCTGGAAACCTATACAGGGTCACTATGAGTCAGAACCAACTTGACACCACACAACAACAGCTGGATCCATTAACTGTTGATCCATAAAATGGGCTTCATGAGATTCTTGTCATGTATATAAAATCTGGCAATTGTTCAGAAGCAAGCATTAGTATGAGAAGAGAAATGGCTTGTCTTCTTTGAACCCTACGGCAGCTATTGTTTTAGCTCAGCCATCTTGCGCATACACATGTGTAAACAGAACCAAAAGATGGGGAGACAACTGCTAACATTTGAGATAGTTTAAGGAGAAACACCTCAGGTGTGTACTATGCCTTCTGGGGGAAGGATCAAGAGCAGTCACTTACATGGGAGATTTCAACATGGAACAAAACGATGATGTCATTCAAGACAGTGGATAGTTGGCAGGGATTATAAGTCAGGTATGTGCTGTTGGTAGACACTTTTAACAAGTTTCCCACTCTTTAAATAAGTGGGATGAGACTCATTAACTGGGTTCCTTGCCCACATCCTCTCCAGCAAGCTGAGCATCAGTACCATCACTTTACAGGGAGGGAGGGAGAAGCCCACTGGCCAGACAGCACAAGCCTGGACTCTGGCCCTCTGTAGTTAATGTGTCTCTCCTGACCTCCTGGGTCATCTGCAGACAAGTTGGTCTCAATTCGGCCACAATAAAACTTAAAAGGAATGACCTTCCTCTTCACCTCACAAGCCACCATGGGAAGTTTCTAGAGCGGCCCTAAACAGACAGGAATGTGTGTGATGGAGGGAGCTCTTCAATGATTACCTTCACTCCCTCCCTCCTGCTGCCCTGGGTCAGGCCCTCATAGAAATCCAGACGTGCCTGGCAGCTGGGCACAATGGGTCATTGTTGGTCATCATTAACATTTGGGCAAGTTTTAATCCAGCCGGCAACATAATCAGAGAAAATAGTCTACTTACATTTAGTATTAACTCATGTGTTTGAATTTATATCATAACTATAGTTGGAGAGAGATGAGAGGGCTACAGGCTTAAATCTTATCACTTATTGCCGAGTTAAATATGTATTATTGTATATACATGCAAGGAGGCTTCAAAATGTTATGGAAAAATAGGATGAAAAGAGAACAGAATTTTCCCACAAGCTTTTGTAAGCCCCCTTTTATATAAATATGCATATGAATATATGAGTACACATATTACATTGGATTAAAATACCCATGCTTCCACTGGTATTTATCTCTACCTACTGTATACTACTGTGACTACCTTACCAGTGTACTGGGTCACACCCTCAGATAATCCCTGGGGAAGTAATTACCAAGGCCAATTTACATTTCAGGCAAGTGGTAGTGTTGCCACTAATATTGTCATTTTGTTTGCAGTTTAAAAAGGGACAGAGATTCCTTTCTGAATGTGTTATTTGGGAGCCCAAGAAAGTAAGATAAGGTTCAAGTGTCCCCTTGATCAATGGCCCAGTCCAAGGGCTTTGTCTTGGGGACTTCCCATGGGTGAAGGGCAGCAGGAACATATACAGGAATGTGAGAAACATCAATGTTCAGAGTAGTCCAAACTTGACTTCTGTCTAGTGCCTGAATTGAGGAAAAAGCAACCAGCAAAGTCAATTTCTGAAGTGTGTGCTTTTATCTAACTGGGTCTCAAGTTTCTGTTGGTTGAATTGGCTTCCTTGTTATGTGTTACAGTGGAATGTATGTACTAGAAGCCGGGAGTCCATGTAGACATCAGATCATAGTGTGGCCAATGACTTGGTCCTCAGAACCTTGTTTTCCTCCTACCTCACAGGGTGAATGGTGAGCAGAAAAGATAGAGCTGTCAGTGCCTGGTATGTAGGTATGATTTGTACAGAAGTCCCTGTGTGGTACAGTTAACACACTCGGCTGCTAGCTGAAATATTAGGGGTTTCAATTCATCAGCTTCTCTGATGGAGAAAGATGTGGTCGTCTGATTTCTTCCAGCCTTGGAAACCTTACTGTGTCCTATAGGATCAGTCTGAGTGGGAATCAACTCCGTGGCACAGGATTTGGTTTTTGGCTTGATGGGTGGTACAAATGTCTAGCATTCTCATCTGCTTATCAAAAGCCTGGTGGTGTGAGTCGAACCAGAGGTACCACAGAAGAAATACCCAGTGGTCTATTCCCCCCAAGTCAGTCATTGAAAACCTGCTGGAGCATAACTCTATTTTGAGACACACGGGGTTACCATGAGTTAGAACTGATTTCAAGAGGGGCAACTGCTTTTTATTTTATATAAATCATTAGTATTAGGCAATGATTCTTAATAGTTAAATGATCTTAAATCAATGCTTTCTGTTCCTTCCCTTTGTGAGGAGTTTCTAAAAATATTTAATTGGCCTGGCCATCAAGAGAACAGAGATGCGTGTCTCTAAAGAAGTTTCAGCACTGTGTGTGCAGGATTCCAAAGTGATGCATACACAAAAATACCAGTCCTCCTGAAGATGGGGCCACTTGGAAGGAGCTTGTGCTGTGGTCCCATACGGAGTGGTCCTTCTTCATCTCCCTCTCAGTGGTGAGGACCCTATTGTGTCTCACCAAATTGCACCCTAGGCACCATGCTTACAATTACACTTGGTCCAAGGACCAAGCCAGGAAACCTGCAATCCAGTGGGCTGAGGGGAGATGGATGGAGTCCTAGAGGTGCGATGGTTAATTGCTCATCTACTAACCAAAAGGTTGGCAGTTTGAGCCCACTCCACAGGAGAATAACCTGGCGATCTGCTACCGTAAAGATTGCTTACCAGGAAACCCAGTGGGACAGTGCTCCTCTGCCATATAAAGTCTCCATGAGTCAGAACAGAGTCAATGACCACAGGGTTGGTTTTTGGTTTATGAGTCAGAATCGACTCAACGTCACACAATAATAGCAACACCAATGCCGTGAGACACAAAAGGGAGATTGGCTGGCACTGGGCCTGGTGCCGTGGCTCCCAGGATCTGAGAGGCAAGCAGAGGCTGGAACGGAGCCCAGACCCCCTGAAGGCTCATGACCAGGTGCATGGTAGTGAGGCCAACAAAATGAACTGGGAACTGTAAAAGGGAATAAATCATCTTATCCTCTCTTTTCTACTCCGAACTTCAAGATAGCCCACCAAGAAAAATTGCTGCCTCATGCTGCAATATCCTTTCATGACCCCTGAGAGCTTGAAAATAAAGACATCAGTCATTACGATCTTACAAAAGCTAGATAATGAAAAAGGAAGACAGAAGACCTAAGGCATTCAAATTCTGATGTTGGTGAAGAATATTGAATGTAGTGTGGGCTGCCAAAAGAACAAATAAATCAGTCTTAGAAGCAATGCAACTGGAATATTCCGTAGAAGTGAGGATGGTGAGGCTTGGTTTATGTTATTGGAAAAGACCAATCCCAGAAAAGGGGTCAGCAAAAAAGAGGAAAGCCCTGAGAATCATGGGTTGACGCTATAGCTGCACCCATGAACTCAAACATACCAATGGTTACAAAGAGGATGTAGGGACAGATGACTTTACATTCTGTTTGAATCAGATGTGACTCTCTACAGTAAGTAAAAACAGTAATAGCATCACTACCGCTGCATGAGCAACATATATGTAAGATGGCAAAGATAGTTGACGTAAGGGTCAGGAAATTGTGTTGTGCACACATACCTGTCTGCTATGTAGCCGATCCCCATGGACCCGATAAAAAATCCCACGTTCACGGCTGACTGAAATAGATCCAACATCCAGGAGTTGGTGCACACGAGGTTAAACTGCCCAGAGATGTGTTCCAAGTCAGAAAAGACAGATAACAATATCCCATTAGAATCCTGCTGGTAACGACTCAGACCGGGCCCTGCCTGAACTGCTACCTGAACTGAACAGCAAAGAGACGATCATTTCTTGCTGCGTCCGTTTTCTTTGCCCAACCAAGAGATTTGTCCCACAATCCACTCAGCACTTCCTCTGGGACTCAGCTATAACCCAAACCAAACCCCTTGCCATCAAGTAAATTCTGACTCACGGAGACCCGGTAAGACAGATTACAACTACCTGATAGGGTTTCCAAGGCTATTAATCTTATGTAAGCAGACTGCCACATTATTCAGCTGGTGGGTTTGAACTGAGGATCTTTTGGTTAGCAGCACTTAGCCACTGCACCACTAGGCCTTGTAGATCAACTATACCCACTGCTGTCTAGCTGATTTAGACTCATAGTGACCCTCTATTGTTGTTGTGAAGTGCTATCAAGTCGGTTCCAACTCAGAGCAACCGTATATGGGGTTTCCAAGGAGCAGCTGATGAGTTTCAACACCAGCCTTGTCATTAGCAGTCCAATGCTTATCCTACAGCACCACACCAGGACCTCTTGCTGACTAAATCAGTTGCATTGAATAATTATTCCATTTATAGTCAAACCCATGTTTGCTTTTTCATTTTAATAAATAGAGACAGAGTGGTGGTGGTTATGTGCCGTGGAGTCAGTTCTGACTCAAAGCACCCTGCATAGGGTTTCCAAGGCTGAAATCTTTACACGAACAGAACACTTCATCTTTCTCCTATGGAATGACCGGTAGTTTCAAACTGCTGACCTTGAGGTTAGCAGCCCTACTCCTAATCACTATGCTACCAGAGCTCCTTACAGAGGCAAATAGCTATGTAGAAACGAAGGTGGGTCATCAAAGTCTTTGCTGTGATAGGAAGATATAGGAAATATCAGCTAAAGCCTGTTACATTCAACTCTTTGAACTGGTTCATTCTGGTTGGGCCATCTGCTGCGACTTTGCATTTTCACCCCAGATATACAAAATCAGAACCTATAGCTGAACAAGATTCCAATTTAGCCTATCTGGTGTGGAAATGTGAATTCTCAACAGGGTGTAATGCAGGAGTGAATTGGTTCAAAGCCCTGTTACATTTGCTATCCTTTGGTGTTCCAGGAACCTTGATGTGCAGTGGGTTAAGCATTGGACTACTTACCACAAAGTCAGCTGTTCAAACCCACCAACTGCATCTTGGGAAGAAGAAGGCTGTTTCTATAAAGACTGACTGTCTCAGAAATCCTAAGGAACAACTCCACTCAGTCTTAGCGGGTAGGAATCAACTGGCCAGCAGTGGCTTTGGATTTTGGTGTAAGAGGTGCAGGAGGAACAGGTGTTAGCCTGGAAATCGGAAGACCAGACTTCTACGGCTGACCAGCCAACACACTCACTATGTGTGGTGGGAACCGTTTGTGCTCTGGGCCTCAGCTTCCTCATCTCTATAGTCAGAGGAGATCAGCCACATTTTAAGGCCTTGCATAGTACATGGCGCAGAACCTTTAGATCTTCCACAATTCACATAACTATATGACCACTTTAGATCCTGAAAACCTGACCCATTTCCAGAAATGTCTGTTCATGCAGAATTATTGTTGTTGTTGTTATGTGTCATGGAGTCGGTTCCGACTCATAGCGACCCTTCACAGGGTTTCCGAGGCTGTAAATCTTTACGGGAGCAGAAAGCCTCATCTTTCTCCCGTGGAACAGCTGGTAGTTTCGAACTGCTGGACTTGCGGCTTGCAGCCTGATTCGTAACCACTGCGGATTACGCAAGCAGTTGTTTTAAATTAAACCGTCAACTGGCTTCCTCAGTATTTTCTGAATAGTTTCATTTCCCCATATTACTTTGTCTCAAGTATGCACAAGACTCCGGGTTTTGTTATCTTTATAATTCTAAGGAGGAGTGCTGTGGCTCTGTAGTATAAGTACTAGACTGCTAACCACAAGATTGACGGTTGGAACCCACCGGCTACTCCGCAGGAAAAAAATGAAACTTTCTGCTCTCACAAAGATTCCCAAGTCTCAGAAACCCTGTACAAAGTTACTGTGAGTCAGAACTGACTTGCTGGTGCTTAATAACAGCAACAACAAAAAAAATTCTAATGAGAATTCGCAATTAAATCTAAATGTTGAGTCTAGTTTTAATAGAATTTATACCATAGCATAGACTTTAACCCCAAAGGGTTTAATATAGACATTTCAAGCTAACTAAAGAGGAAAAGAAACAGCCACCAAGAGAAAGGCTTATAGTATGGCAGTAAGGCACAAGTAGATAGCATGTTTGAGCTATAGGATGAACATTGGACTGCAAACCACAAGATCAGTGGTTCAAGCCCACCAGCTGCTCTACAAAAGAAAGACAAGGCTTTCTGTTCCCAGAAAGAATTACAGACTGGGAAACCCTGTACTGGGTTGCTATGAGGCAGAACGGACTGAACAGCATTCAACAACAACAAGGCACAGTTTAGGTGAATTCTGTGAGCTTTCTGGTATCTATCTGCATGCTGGGGAAATGGAGGGAGAGCTGGGGGTAACAGAGAAACAAAGGAGACTTTAGAATATTCTCTTTTCTGGCATTATTCCCAGCACTTCTGATACCTCTGGGCTGTTTCTTACCATTGAGACAGGCATAAACTCAAATCATTACTGCCAGAATGCGTTGAATCCTTACTAACCTAAACAAGTCCTAAGCTGTTGTGTTCCTCTGGAAATTAGAATTCTATGAGAGGTACTGAGTTCAGTGAGCATGTTGGGTAACAGGCATGAGAACGCGATGGCCTTGGAGTCTTCCTCCAGCACAGTTGGGTCATTTGCTTTCTCCCTCTATACCTTGATCATCTAGGTGGCACTGACTCACCTCAGTCACAATGGAGGAGCCGGATGTGTCATACATCCAGCCATGTTCGCAGGGGCTCAGCGTCAGGTGGCTCCTGTTGGTGGTCAGGCTGGCCAGTGGGTCCACGCAGCCGAGGGTGCTCAGGTTCCAGTCCACCTCATACCTGAGACACTGGCGGGAGAAGGCATCACCCGTGACCCCCAGCCCAGGCACCGTGTAGTTCAGCTCCTCGTCCCAACTCCAGCCACACTGCTGGCTGAGCTCGGCCACCCCTGGACTCCGGCAGTGGTGGTCGGGGGTGAAGCCTAGGAAGACGATGCCCACATAGATGGGGGTGAAGGAAGCAGAGAGTAGAGCTAAGAGAAAGAAGGTTTGCTTCTGGAAAAAGTGGAACTCCCCAATGTGCTCTAGAATGTCATCCACAGTGGGCATTCTTGCTCGAGGTGGGACTGGCCCTGCTACCTTCTGCCCCAGCCGGCTCCAAATGCTGCTGACAGTGACAGCAGTGAACAAGGCCAACTCCTGACCAGAAGTCAAAGGCTGAGAGGCAGCTTCCTTCAGAAAGCAGGCCTGGGAGCAGACCTCCCCTTGGCCAGGCTCGCTCCACACAGCACTCTTGCCGTGGGCGTGGGCTCTGCAGCTCCAAATGCCCAGATGCTGAGCCAGCTCCCAGTGGGGTGTTTACTGTGGTCACCTCACACCAGTGCAATAGACAAGCCTCTTTTTCTGTAATTTGAGTGCCTCAGGTCTCACAGACCCGTTAATCTTTCTCTAGTCCAGAAGAGAATACGTTTGTATCTCAACCCCACAAACACCACTTCTTTGGCTCCCATGGAGAAGGTCTGCATGGTTGGCTTCATTCACTGGGGTGAGGGGTTAGGGCACAGAGAGCTCTAAGTGGGTTGCAAATTCTTTGGGCTTGTTCTGCAAACAACAGAACTACAAACAGAGTGAATTTAGCCACATGCTGTGGCTGCATGTGTTTATTTTATTTTTCAGATCATCAGATGTCTACCTTTTAAGAAACAGTGTTTATCCAATCTGGTGTGCTTGCCTTTTGACACTGAAATGCCTTTCCTCTTGACCCATTTGCAAGAAGGAGTACAATGCTTATCACACGTTTAGTTCCATGCACGAGTGCTTTCAGTCTATAGCCTTTTTTTTTTTGTCCTGGATAGTCTTATCTGGGCTCAGGGCTGTCTCATTAGTGGTGGTGGGTACATCCAAAATGCAAAGAGAAGTAGAACATCTGTCTTCCCAGGTGGGCAGAAGGATCATTAATGCATTGTGAAACTGCCAGTTAGGGAAGGGGAGCCATTGATACGCCTGCGTGGTAAAATACTCAGAATTTAATCTAGTTTTCTCTATGTTTTACTATTAGATAGTCAGTGTGTATCAGTGAAGGTTCAGTGGCAGAATCCTTACATTTCATACAGTAAAACTGTGATCAATTCCTGGCCAGTGTACCTCATGAGCAACTACTACTCGTCTGTTAGCAGAGGATTGCATATTGCTATGGTGCTGAGCAAGCATCAGTGGAATGTCTAGGTTAAAACAGATGGGAAAGAAAAGCCTCTTGTTCTGCTTCTGAAAACCAATGAATGAAAATCCTTTGAATCGATTGGCATAGTATAGTCCACAAAGATAATGTTCTACATCCTAGTCTGTTGATTAGTGACTGGGGTGTTAAAAGCTTGGGGACAGTCATTTAAGGTATAATTATTGGTTTCTCCCTATAGGAAGCAAGGAAGAGTGACAAAAATCAAAGACACAAGGAAACAATGAGTCCAAAGGACTAATGGACCACATGAACCTCAGTCTCCACAGCCCTGGGACCAGAAGAACTAGATTGTGCTGAGCGACCATGGCCAGCCACTCTGAAAGGGATCTCTATAGTGTTTCCTGGAGAGAGTGGGAGAACAAATTGGAATAAAATTCAAAATAATAAAGAAGACCAGGCTTACTGAACTGACGGAGTCTGCTGGAACCCCTGAGAGTTGAGATCTTAGACACCCTTCACACCTGGAACTGAACTCATTCCTGTAGCTCAGTTTTCAACTAAATGAAATGGTGAACCAGGTAGGTACAAACTCATTAGTACCATCGACCATATAAGAAAAGAGGGCGACATTTGCCCAGGGATGCAGCTTAAAAGGGACTCTTGGTGTGACACCATAGGATAAGCACTGGACTGCCAACATCAAGTTTTGTGGTTCAAGCCCACCAGCTGCACCTTGGAAACTCTGTACAGGGTAGCTATCATTCAGAACTGACAAGATAGCACTTAACAACATCTCAGAAGGCAGGAAGGGGCAGGAAAGAGGGATGAAAGTAAATGGTAAAACAGAGAGGAAGTGGGAAGGGTATTTGCTGCACTTGAGAGGATGCAATCAGTGTCACAAACCAAATATGTATGAGTTGTTGAGCTGAAAACCAAATCTCTCTGTAAACCTTCTCTCACATCACACACACACACACACACACACACACACACACATACACACACACACCTATGGATCGCACTGATCATGGGGATTCTGTTGGCCCATGCAGTGTTTCTTTCCATAGTGCCCGGGATCACCATGGATCAGGGACTGCCTGCAAGGCTGCTAACAACAACAGCAATGACCTACAGTCTTCCTCCATCCCCAGATGTAAGATTCTGATTTTACTCAAAGAGCAAGAAGTGGTTAGCTGTAAGGACCTCCTCCGTGGCTGGCTGCTTCCCAGAGGTGCCCTTCTAGTGGTGACAGAGTAGAAAAGGCTGTGTCACTATTGGCCTCATTTTAGCCTCAGTTCACACTCTATAGAACTAAGAGTTTTGGGGGGAGTATTTTTGATCCCGAAAGTTATAGTTCAAAAGTTCATGCATGTATTTTATCCACTGACCACAATCATTGATTCAGTAGACATAATACAAAATTGGATCACATTTCTGATCGTATGTGATTGTCCATTGCTAATGGACAATGGCCACTGTAAACAGGGGTCTCAGCTTCTGAGATCATGGAATGTCATTGCCTGGAAATGCTGGGTCCTAGAGAGCTGTGGCTTATCCCATCGCCATCTTGGATCACAGAAAGACTGACAGAAAGATGGGACTCTACACTGAGTCTTGAGAGATATTACAGTTTTCTAGATCAGGGAAATGAAAAATCATTGACAAAGGGTACATTGCCCACCACCAAAAAAGATAGCGTGACACCAGTCAATAAAAATAGACCTTTAATTTCAAATTCTAGAAAGATGGGACAGTCATGTCCTTACTGATTGCTCTTGGTGAGTACAATCGAAAACCCTGGTCATTATATATAGAACAAACTTAAGAGGACACTGGACGAGGGAGAATAAGAATCCAGACTGGCTAGTGACTTCGAGATCTAAGAAATTACACAGTTGTGAGTTCACTGTGTCTTTTCTCTGCCTCACATGACCCAGACTACAGGCTGGAGAAGCCAGTCATCTGGAAATACCAATGGATGCAGACCAAGAAAGTCTGTTGTCTTGAGCTCAAAGACCAAGAAAAGGGCAGCCTAGCAAGCCAGAGAGCATTTAGAAAATAACCTATCCCTTGTAGCCTAACACCAAACAAACAAAAGTTCAATTTGAAGACACAATTACACATATAATTTTTGTATGTTAGCAGATTTTTAAAGATGGTTTAGGTCATAGATTTTCAGAATGTCTTTCCAGTTGGATGAATAGCTTTAACTTCATTTACAACAATAGCATATTATAATATTTCAATCACCCTGCAAATGTTGATCTAATGTTGGCTGAAACGATATAGTGAAGTTGAGAGATTGAAGAGAAAAGCAAATTAGAATTTTTTTTTTAAATCAAGGGAAATATGTTAATATCAGACCGTAAATATTCATTTATTTAGAAATGAAGCAGATGGTTACTTATTTAACATTTTGTTTGAAAATAATTACAGATTAACAAGAAGTGACAAAGATAAATAAGTACAGAGAAGTCTTAGCTACCCTTCACCTAGTTTCTTCATTGGTTGCATCTTGCATAATTAGAGTACAATATCGAAGCCAGTAGTTTGGATGGCTCCGTGCTTAAAGTGCTTAGCTGCTAACTGAAAAGTTGGTGGCTTCAATCCACCAGTCAACTCTAGCAGAAAGATGTGGCAGTCTGCTTCTGCACACTTGCAGCTTTGAAAACCCTGTGGGGGCAGTTACATTGTCTTCTAGGGTCAGAGTGAGTCAGAGTAGATTTGATAGCAATGGGGTATTTGTTGATGTTATTATTTATGTGTATAGTTCTAGGTCATATCAGAAGTGTCGACTGGCATAACCCCCATCACAATTCAGGCACATAACAGTTCCATCATCACAATGATATCCCTTTAATAATCACCCCCATCCCTCATCTCCACCATTTTTATCCCCAGGCACCCACTAGTTTGTTTTCCATCTCTATAATTTGGTTACTTCAAGACCATTATAAGTGGAATCATAACTTATGTGACAATTTTTAAATAATGACTTTATTGAGCCATAATTTTCATATTATTCAGTTAATACTTTTGCAGTGGACATTTAGCAGTTTTTAGTTCATTCACAAAGTGCACTTATTTATCACTATTTAATTCCAGAACATTTTCATTATTGCAAAAACTAATCCCATACTCATTAGCACTCACAACCCATTGCTTTCTCCCTATCTCCCCTAACAATCATTAATTTAATTTCTGTCTCTATGGATTCACCTATTCTGAACATTTCATCTAAATGAGCTCATATAATTTAATTTCTGTCTCTCTGGAGTTACCTATTATGAACATTTCATCTAGTTGAGATCACACAATACAAGACCTTTTGTGCTTGCCTTCTTCCCCTTGTTGTCAGGTGCCATCGAGTCGGAACCGACTCATAGCGACTCCATGCACAGCAGAACGAAACAATGTTCGATCCTGGGCCAACCTCACCACCGCTGCCACCCCCGAGTCCATCAATGATGCCACCTGGCCGATCCATCTCGTTGGAGGTCTTCCTCTTTTTCTCTGACCCTCCACCCTACCCAGCATGACATCCTTCTCCAACGATTGTTTCCTCCGGACTACATGTCCAAAGTAGGAGAGACGAAGCTTAGCCATCCTGGCCTCCAAGGAGCACTCTGGCTGCACTTCTTCCAAAACAGATCTATTGGTTCTTTTGGCAGTCCATGGCACCCTCAGTATTCTCCTCCAACACCACAACTCAAAGGCATCAATTCTTCTACGATCCTCTTTATTCACTGTCCAGCTTTCGCATCCATATGAGGCTATTGAAAACACAATGGCCTGGGTCAGGCGCACCCTAGTCCTCAAGCTGACATCTCTGCTCTTCAATACTTTAAAAAGTTCCTGTGCAGCAGATTTGCCCAGTGCAATACGTCGTCTGATCTCTTGACTGCTACTTCCGCGAGTGTTGATAGTTCTT